TGGAAACTGTTTTAATTATACCACTCATATTACTCTGATAAAGATTTTATTAATTATTTCCCGGGTGAACGATCAATGCAAAACTTTTTTAATGTCAAATTTAATCGGTTTTAGTGATCCATTTTCTACTAAATAAATAATTTGTGTAGTAATAAAAATATGCAGTGGAACACGAATTGGAATATAATAATAATTCAATGAAATAAACCACATATTACGTACATAGCAAATAGTCGATTTGTTAAAATTAAATAAATGCTATACGATTTATGGATATACATACCTATGTTATGTTTGGTAACTCTGGTTCGACCTCAATTTTTTATATTTGTTTGGAAAAAAATAGTTATAAATTCAAATGAAAAATGTATAAAATAACTTGCTATGTTTAGGATTTTGACCATCAAATGAGAAACTAAATACTTCAGATGACAAATCTAACAAAAAATATCAATTTCCCAATGAATCCAATGAGAAAAATCCATTAGCATTTTTTGGGCGCATCTGGACTGTATTATTTCAATTATTTAAGAATTCATGTTTAGAACTCGCGTAAATATTTGGAACTCGAATCTAATTTATGCAAAAAACTCGTTTCTTTCAGTCGATATTGATAAACACCGATTGTCGGAAAATACATAATTTTAATGGATAACAAATTGTTGGGCAAAAAGTAAATGCGAGCTTTCGGTTAAATAAAAATCGTTCCTTTTCAAAACAAAGTAAGCTAAGTCTTAACGCAAACATACTTAAAAAATAGTCTTTGTTTTCGACATTATAAGTGATAAAGCTCTTAAAAATTATCCAAGTTCGAGCTAATAGGGTTTAAAAGTTCTGAAATGCACTGGATTACTGCTGCTTTAATAAGAAGCTGTTAGCATATTTGCTCATACTTTATATTTTTATATTTAAATCACGTGTGTTTTACTTTGCACAGTAATAATACACTGATGTGTTTATTTCAACTTAAAATCCGGATTACAAAATAATGACTAATAATGTGTTTCGTGCTGGGGGAAAAGCACAACTCTTCATGCGATGGATAATCGGCACGTAGCGGACCCCAGAAATAGAAGAGGAGACCGTTTTGCCGTAGAATAAAATTTAAAAAATATCTCAGAGGTCGGACTTGTTGACTACTAAACAGGCTTTTTTCAAAACACATTTTTCAGTAAAAAGCGCCGATTTTTTTGAGGTTTATTTTAGGACATTGCACTCTGTAGACTACCATTCCCAAAACATTAGATTTTACAAAGAAGTTTCTACAACAATTTCATACAATTTCTATACAATTTCTAATTAAGCAACTATCTTTTGTTAGAGCATGTAAATTCCAGATTTCAAAGCGGTTTTAAGGTTTAGCCAGATTTAACTAGTTAGCGAGACTGAAACGTGTTTTCTATCCTTATTGAGAATTAATAGTGACTTTCCCCCTTTTTCTAAAGATGTTTTGTGCATAATAAATAAAATCAGTTTTATTAGCTTTGTACCAGAGAAAATTATTACTCGGCAAATTGGAAAACGTTATTTGAATCGATCTCACCAATGTAGCACTTTTTATGGAAAGCTGTACCAATAGTAACCAAAGGAAAGAACTTCTACTTTGGCAAAAAACAGACGATCCAATATAAAGATTTAGTTTCTAATTTCGAAGCTTCTCTGGGAAACCTTGCTAACTAAAGAACAAACGCAACACTCTTCTATATATCGGTTTTGCCTGCAGACATCAACAAGAACCGAAAATTGGCTGTACATTTTCCTTTTCAGATTTAAATTTACAACTCACATTTTTTACTTCAAAAGTGTTAGTTGATTTTGCGTTATTTTTCAGAAAGATCAAAATTACATTTATTTCTTATATTTTAAATATTTAATTATGTTTTTGAGTTAAAGCTTTGCCTTTTTGTTAGTGATGGCTTAGAGTGTTTGGTCAAGTTTTATAAAAATAATTTACAACTGAACCGAATTACATGTTCCGAAAATTGATATATAATGTGTGAATATTAAATAGACACTATAAAGGTTCTAAAATTTAAATTTTGGTTCGTGTGATCCGAAAAACGTAACTGTCACGCCAAAACCAAGACTCAATTTACTTCAATAACTAAAATCTAGCAATTCTTTCTAACGATGTTGTATAATTTTTTAAACACCCTAAAAGTGTATACGTTATTAAATTCTAAAGAAAGTTTGAATATAAGACATGTTTTCATTTCCCTAGTTCTTCTTCACTGGTCTATAATTTACTATTTTCCACATAATAGCTTTTTAGTACACGAAGTAAATTTCCTGATAGAAACTGATAATTTATGATAAAATCAAAAATCAAACTCAACAGAACTATCAATAGTTACTTTAAATAAGTATAAAAATTAATAATAAGTACAGTTCCAGAAATCGTTTAGTTAATCGTTTTTTAAATTATTTATTTAAGTTTAAAACATTTTCAGATATTGTGCATACTTTGCATTTGCTATATTAGTAATTACGTAGGGCCCTCTAAGTGATATTATAAAGTATGCAGCGTAAAGCGTAAATAAACACAGAAGATATGCAACAATTTTAAAAAATGTGCCTTACAATTTTGCGTTTCCTAATATTAAAAGTTGTCTTTTTTTTTCTTAGAATTTGATAATGTAATCGTTTATGCGACGTTCCATTAAAAAAAGGCATTAGTTTTATAAAGCGCAATGTTCTAAGTACCTACTCTGTACAGTTGAACAGAATTTAGAAAAACTTGAAAGAGTTATACGCATTTGTTTCCTCCTGAAACTAAATTTGGAATAAAGTAAAATACTCTGTAAACAAACGAAAATAATCCTTGTCAGCTTATACTGGGTCTCTTCTATTTTCAAGTAAAAAATCACCAACGAATTTACTTTTATGGGTTAGCAGCTGGAAAGCTTAGCATTGTTTACGAAACCGAGTCAGTTTTACCATTTATCATAAATAATACGCTATACCCTATTGGAAAATAAAAACTCGTCGTTCCTCTTAGGGACGCGAAAAAAGGCAAATCATTGCCACCAAGAAAAAAATAGCCGGAGAAGTTATTTGGGCAGCCTGAAAAGATCGGTTTTCAAATTGTCGGCACAATGACACAAAAAGTTAAGACGGGCGCGACAAAGATAGAGGAAAACAGGTCATTTAATTCCCCGAAGAATGAAATGAGGGAGGACGGCGTATCGCACACTAAACGGTAATCAACAAAAGCAAAATTAAATAAGCTTTTGAATCTCATTGCCCCGACCTTAATTGGCAAAGAATACAGTGAATATTTTATGTACAGCGATTCATACTCATTTAAACCTCAGAAAGATAATAATTTTCCAACGAGAATTGTAACGTCTTCTTGTTCTACCGAACGAAATTATTAATAAAGCGAATCGAGACAAATGAAATGGAAATAAATATTTGCATATTCATAGATTTTTTATTTACCTACTGTATGTATTTACAATATTAATGGCTACCAGAGGAAAGAAATCAGCCAATCAAATTAAAATCATTCAAAATAGGATCAAGAAAGCGTAGAAACGACTGTAAAGTGGCAAAGTTTTACCATTTTTTAAGAATTGATATACATACTGTTTAGAAGTTTGATTAAAATTCTGAATTTTTACCTCTTTTTAGTCCTGGATTCACCTTAAGGTGTTATATTACGTCCGGATTTGGAACATAAAGCTAAATTTGAGCTAGAAACCGTGGTTTTTAAACTATCGAAACCAGTTCTTTGACGAAAAGATATTGCAAATGCCGAATCCACTATCGAGCGTTATAATACATTTTAAGACAGAAACTTAATGTGAGCAAAACATATTTCAATTCAATTTCAATTTTTTTCTCTATCTTGATCACCTCAAATTCTACTCTCCCTCTAAATCGTCGGTCGGCACTCAAAGTTTTCCCAATCAAAAATGCTAGAATTTTGAAATTTTTAGTTTTAGAAGTTTTGTCTTTGATGGTCATTCAACAAAAGAAGAATCGTAAGCATTTGAGCAACTGGATCTTTATCGGCATAAACCAAAAAGTTTTAAATTTTTAATATATTGAATCTTGTTCCGGTATTTAAGTCATTTGTTGATAACTTTACGGTTTGTTGAACCTACATTTTAGAACAACATCTTAAATTTAGATAGATTAGAATATACATATAAATCATTTATAGGATAATAAAAGATTTAGACGATAATTTGTAATACCTACTCGTTAAAACATGATCAATCAAATCCATAGAAACATTTAAATTATGCGAAAGTGCGAAACAAAATTCCGAGAAGTCAATTTGGCTTTCAATACTTACCGACTTGACATAATTGAAGACTTTATCCCTATTAGAATAATGGAGGAAGTAGCGTCTGGATGTTTAAGGAGGAGCAAAAAAGATTTCCTATTCACTTAGCCAATGCCTGCATCTAACAGGCTTTGGTACTTAAGCAATATTGGTAATTTATGTAGGACAAAAAGCGTGAATTCTATGCCTCCTTAAGACCGATTCAGTACAAATGCAAGTTTAAAACATTTGCTTAATGTAGCGCTTCTTAGAACCTCCTCTCAATATTTTATTACTAACTTCAACACACTATTTAAGAATCCTTAATGGTTCAATGTTTAAAATATGGCGATGTAAGTACAAAATAGATTCGTATACGTCAAGCAAAAAATTGATCAGGAATCCAAAGAATTCTTGAAGAAAAAAATGCAATTTTTAAGCACGTAAGTGTCAAATGAATGTACCTAATTTTCAATCCGAAAGCCACTTATAACCAAAGGCTATAAGTATACTTACTTGACTAACAGTATAAAAAGATTGAATTAAATCGAGATAGGTACGTACATATTTCCCTTTAATTCTTGCAATTTTCAACTAAATAAATTCGTAAGAATCAGCTTAAAAGTATGGCATATCAAAGCATTTCAAATTCTTATATAAAATAAGGTTGATAAATTGAAGCTTTAGAGCCTGATTATTTTTGCGATTAAAAAACCTGACAACTTACCTGACTTTGATTGAAGTGAATGATCTGATTAAATTGAGCTATAAAATAGAGCAAATAATTTTTTCCACTATATTCACTTTTCCAATTTTAGTTCGATTCAGAGCAGCAAAGTGTATGCACAAAACTTCACTAGATCATTGCTATATGCAGTAGTTCCCTGAATAAAGCTGATTTGGACTTCATAATTTGCATTTCCAAAAAACTCAAGCGTAGATTTTGCGGAAAAATTGTCCACAGTGATAGGGATCCGTTTTGCGAAGCGTAAGGCGAGCGAATAGTAGGAAAATGCCGACACTCACAATTTTCCCGCGTTGGCTCTATCAACTTCTTAAAGTTTGTCACTGCGCAGAGTTATAATATTATAAAATCTACACCATCCAATAAGCTTTTTGCTCCTATTTTCTGTTTTCTCTAAAATGGCATTCCCTAAATAAAAAATTCGAATTAAATCAGTTAATAAACATGGAAATAAAAAGATAAAACGTGGCAATTTTCAGCACGCAAACAATCTCGAATATTTTAAGAACATCGGGCACTAATAACATGTATAATTAATTATTGTTATACAGTTCCTGCAAGATAGATTTTGCCACCGGTCGCGATAGATGAGAAATACAACTAATGCAAGTGTATTCATGTTGCAATAAACTGCAAACACTTCAACCAATGCAGAATTTTGCGTTAAAGCATAATTGTATTGGTTAAAAGATTTGCTGCTGTGACAAATATTTTAAACGACTTACCATTTTAGATTAGTTAAGAATTAAATGTTATTCTTTCGGTTTTAAAGTGCTATTGACCTTTCATATATATCTACATTGATTGTGTATGTAGACTTGATTTAAATATATCCAAAATATTAACGTTTCGTAAAAACTTCAGGAAATCATTTCGGCAAGTTAACGCAAAATTAAAATTAGAAACTCTTGTAAACCATATAATCTTGCACGAAATGTAGTAAATTATTTATATACAATAATGTAAACTACAATATGTAATGCTTAGTACAATTTCAACAACGACGGGTGTGTGTTAGTTTACTAGGAATGATGTTAACATGATTAAATATCACACATTAGGAAGGAAACTATATATCATGCTAAAATACGACACAGACTGCTTGGTAGACCAATAGATAGATGCTTTCTTGAAGAAAATAATACAAGTAATTTGAAATATATTTCCTTAATTACTGACTTCCAAAATGCCCCGATCTTATCTATTTTTATAAATTAACTCTATCCTCCGTTCTGGACACTCTTGTTGTAATTACTTTATGATAAAAATTCTCTCTACTGGAAATATTTTAAATTCAATATTATTTTCTCCGCACTAAAGAGTAATTGCTCGCTAAACCACGCTAAATCTTTCTGAATTTTTTTTTCAAAATTACCGAAAGCATAATTTTAAGAATTTGACGCTGATGTTCGCCAAACACTTCTCTACTATTTCCATTCCAACACAGAAATGGAAAGAACAAGAGTTTTCTCAACAATAAAAAGAAACTTTTTCAGCAAATAAAAATCACAACTAACGTTTACTTGCGATCACAAAAAAACTTACACAAAGCTTTAAAAAATCCACAAAAGTTAGTTAAATTGATGAAGTTGAACCAAAGAAATATTTTCTATATATTTATATACCTATATTAGCTAGACTATTTACCTGGTTTCGTTTCTTTTGTCCTTCTATTGCCTTAAACGTTTAGGGACATTTAAGTTAGCAGCAAAATAAAATCAAAACTCCCTTAAAAAATAAACATTTATTTCGTAATCATCTTCAACTTGAGTATTACTAAAAAATGATCAATAACAGCCACTGATGCGATGTTTACTTATATTACTTTAATCATTTCAAACAATGGCTAAACAATGTTGCTTCGGTTGTTTGGTTTTCTTTTATAACTGACTGTATTCCAAATTGTTAAATAATTTTATATAACTTATCCACACAATATTTTGCAAAAATACATTACAAAGCTATTTGGTCCCTGGTTGTCGACTTTCCTAATTGATAACTCCTTACTTATTCATGCCTATTATTTCACAATGTCAATATATTACATACTTTTCTAACAATCTCTATTTAACTAGATACAATAAATTAAGTGAGAATAAATAAGTTGTACTTTGTTTCCTTATAGATACCTTATTTCGTTATGTAAATGCTACAGATAAATTACTACATAGCTACAAGGGTAAAAGTTTCCTCGATCTTAGAGCTTTATATTATATTTTCACTTGAAACAGTTAATGTGAAACAAGTTTTTAATATCAAAACGTATAATATGAATTAGATAAATTATGTGTTTTGCATACTTGTCTAAATACCTACATAGAATTATTTATGAATACTTCAACTTAGTTGCAGTTGAAGCAGATACACCAGAAGCCCTAGAAATTGCTAAAACATATCGTCAAAAGGGGATTATTTATAATTCAATTTCAATTATTAGCTACACTCGTTTCATACATTATGCTTTTTATGTTATTGTTGACGCAATAATTACAGGGCTGTTACCATCTTCAATATTTGAAATAGTTAAATTTGCTTTTTATTTCATGGAGCACTATAAAAATATATTTCCTATTTAAATGTTCAATTCTACTATGATTCCAGCAGATTTTCTTGGATCTACGAGTCTTCTCGATTTGATGGTTGGCTTTTGCAGTCAACTAAACAATGAGCGTTTAAGTAGCGCGTGGCGCTAGCTGGCTAAATCAGAACTTTCATCCGGCTCAAGTTTAATTATATTATTTTTAGAATCAATTGTTAAATAACAGTTCCCATGTTTTATTTGGCCTGTAGCACCCAGATAACTTACAGTTTGGGATAATAGTCCAGTCGGATAACTTGACGATGAATCTGCAGAAATGAGACTTAACTGCAGTTCATTGTTATCACCTATATTTACAATCCGAGTCATGCAGTTTGAAGGATAATGATTCAGTTCATTAGAACATTTAGCGCTTACGTATTCTATAGGGAGTCCTTTCTCCATTTTATTCACACACTTGGTTTCAATTCCAAGATTATGACCGTCCTCAACATTTTGTAAAATTGATGTTTCAAGCTTACGTTCACACTTTGCACCTTCTGTATAACATTGTGTTAATATTTGGTTTTTTGAATTCCGACAAATTTTACCAGATATGCTATTCTTTGGGGAACTGCGCCTTAAACCACCTGCAACGTTCGGAATTGGCTTTACTCCTTTCGTACCACAGATCTTTCTAGGTGCTCGATTTAAATCTAAATCGTCAGAACGGAAAGTTTTATTTATTAAACCCATAAATAGTAAAGTGGATTTTCTAGATCGAGTTTTAGAAATATGTATTTCAGAAATGGCATCAGTTTTCTTTTGAGGAATCGTATTAATTTGGTTGTTTTCGATTGATGAATTTTCCAGCAAAGCTCCTGTACTTCTATTAGAGACTAGAAAGTTTCTACTTTCCAGCTTATATTTTTTGTTTAGAAGCTCTTTATTTATACCTTTTGCCAATCCCTTATCTGATTTGCTTTTCCTATTGCTATTCTTAGAAACAGGCGTTAAACTACATGCTCCGCATGAAGACAAAGAAGTGGCAAAAGCATTATATTTCCTCTTATTGGTACTGGAATTCCGTAGGTTTTTAGCATTAGGTTTCTCTTTAGTAGAAAATTCTGATATATCTTCTACACTACCGGAACTTCTTAATTTTCTTAATACTGTAGAGACTTCGCGAGTTACAATACGACTCTCTTTCGATGGTAAATCGGAGTGAAAATCTGCAGGTTTAGCGATTTCGTTGGCGCTTCCAAGACGCTGTGCAATAGAAAGTTTAGCCAATTTTTTATTTTTTTCAGTAACCAATTCTCTTTTTTTTTTACTGCAACTATCACGTTTATGTTTTAGTCTAATTTCTGTATTTACACTACGTTGCTTAGACATATCCAAATATTTTAAGTCACTCTCCATTTCACAGCCAATAATTTCCTTTGATATAGCATCGGTTTTGCAAATGTTTTTACGTAATAAATCATTTGGATCCAATACCGCTAAAATACTTCTGTTTTCAATTATCTTCTTTGATACATTAGGTTGGTTAAACCTTTTCTCCGATTGCGGATCATTACTGATTTTTTTAAGATGCCTAGACTTAGACGTAAGATGATCTGATGTGTTAATTGGTAACCTTTTAAAGCTATTTCTTGTTTTTATTTGTTTGGAACGAAGATTAATGTACGACTTTTCAACGCGATTTTTTCTTCTGCAGTTGCTTTTTATGTTCTTACCATTCTGCACCGGCGCGCCTTTAAGGCGAGTTTTATTTGATTGCTCTTTCGATTTTTGTAACATTTGAGCTTTCTGTATAGTAATTAAGTTAAAATTTTGTAAAAATGCCGCTTGAAGGTAATCGTTGTTATTAGACGGGTCACCAAAATCAGTTTCTGAAATAGAGAATATCGTAAAATATGGAGCAACTAGTAATACCTATATGGGACTATATGACCATTTTTTCGAAATCAATTATCATAAATATTCACTCAAAACTCACCGTTCTTCACATAGTTCTTGATGTGGCAATTATTCGTTCGCCTAATCTTGGACACTATTTTACGGATAATTTCCTTACATTTAATTTTACTCGCTCGTGCATTTTTGCTTTCAGCGTTGTAAGAACTTCTCAATAAATTTTCATTTTCTATTTGCGTCGACCTATATTCAGTTAGTAATTGCCGTTGTCCTATTAGTTCACTTAGAAGAAAGTTGTTCAAATGTATTTGACTATTTTCAACTTTCTCGGCAGTCGGCAAATTCGGAGGAGTCAAAGCTTCGTTTTTAATCACAATTCGATCACTTAAATCTTCTAATTTTAATTTAAAATCATCCCGATTATTCTGAAAGAACGGTTTCAACGATAAATATGATTGAAAACCTTGGCAAGTTTGTCGCTAAAAGAAATAATAAAAACTTACCTGACTGGAACTCGCACTAGGATATTCGGATGGTATACATTCTCGAATATCAAATTTCTGAAAGAAATGTTTGCATCCAATTATACTAGGATTTTTTTTTTCATTTAAATTTACTTGTTTTTGAAGTGAAAGTGGCCAATATTTAAAAACTTTTGTACTTTTAAAATGTATATCAACTGAGTTTATGGCAGCTTAAATTTCCTCAGGGACTGGGCTGCTCACACCAATCGGGTTTTCGATTTATTACTTATTCTTAATCATCCTACTTTGTTCATTATTCACTAATACAAGGTACATCAAACACAACATTTTAATTGTAAACAGGTCCTAAACCTAAACTTTTTTTGATTTTTATGTAGCTTAATCAATTAAGCAAGACAGCAACGGCTAGACTTCCGACAGGTCGGCTTAGCGTGTAAAGAAACCATGAGCAAAAAAGAGTACAAATTTACGGTGCTTTAATGTTGAAGCCACAGTGAAAGTTTTTCCATTGTAACAGCCAAATATCTTCCACAAATCGTGAAAAGAATTATTGAAAAAGTATCGAATTTTTTCATGAGTTTATATGATACGGATTTTTACTACTAGCTAACCTGAGAAGTCACCATTATTTACTTCATTTCCCTAGTGAAAAGTTATATTTCTCTCCCTAAGTCAATAAAAATAATCAAAAAGTTCCTAGGTAAATAATGAAGTTTACAAGTTAAAATAAGAAGATGTTTTTCACTATTTTTAGTTTGCCCATTTCTATAAGTTCAAGAGAGATTCCATGCATTTTCAGTTCTAAAATCACTGTAACTTGAACATTAACTAATTTTTCGCCTTTCCCAGGAGTTTTTCATAGAACTTTTATCTGTTTTCTGGAGACCAAAAAACTATACTGCGGCATTAATTGGAAATTCCAAATCTAATTAAATGAATTTAGGAAATGTTAGGGGTTAGTAGTACAAAAAAATCTATATAACCTTCGGTCGAGAAGACTATTAAATACCTCGCACATTATATCCTTCGGCGCTACGCTCCTCATGATATAAAAGTTGTCGGTATAGATATAATAGCTTACTTCTCTACCTAGGTATATAATATACTATTACTGTTCAAGTCGTTCAAGTTACTGTCGGTTTTCGTCCAAAGCCCAAATAAAATTGAACTGAATTGAATTGAAAATTGAAGCAACTAAGTAATAAGGCGCGAAATTTTTGAAGGACAAACTTTTGTGGATATATATATGAAAAAAATTTCAAACGCAAAAGAGTTACGCATTTTTATAACAACGAATTACCTGTTCAACATAGCTGGAATGTGAGGTTTTAAACAAATCAAATAGTGTTTCTTGGTTGCGAACCACTTCTTGTTTAAATAGTAAAACATGTGTCAATCTATTTAAACACCGCTTGCACATGAATTGAGGATACGCTTCATGTGTTGGGAGCTGCAAATTAAAATAAAACAAATAGCACAGAATGATAAAAGCAGCACATTTTCCTTTTGAAACCCACCTGAACATTAAACAATCCAAATACCATTTGTACTAAAGGATCTGGAAATTCCTCAACAACATGGCAGTATACGTCTTTAAACGGTTTTCGAGATTTCAAGCAAATTCGACAATTAAATTTTAAATTAACTAATTCCATGTTGTTTGAATTTCACTAGCAAAAATTAAATTCCAAACCCCAAATATGCAAAGTGACATAACCTTGGACGTAACTATCAAAATTGTTGTTGCGGGTTTTCTACGTTCCAAGCTGATGTGGCAGCAGCGTAATGTAGGCGTAACAGCGAACACACTAGAAATGTATTGTATTGTTTAAAAAATTTGCTGAAATATAAATGAGTCTGAAGGGTACTTCATTATTGGTTTTCAGATACTATCAAAAATTTTAATATTTTAAAAATATTTAATTATTTTATAAATGCATTTTCAATATTGTGAGAATTTCGACCGATTTTCAAAATATAATAACAAACATATTCATCTCATGTTCTATCCAATTTTCCATTTAGCTTTGATTTATTTATTTAATTCATTTTTTTGCTCCGCATTGGTTTAAAAATAAACAATAAAAATGTTAATATTAATCGCAGCTACGGCTCCAATACTTTATCTTTGTTTAAGGAAGTTTTCAATTTTCCTGTAATTATTATTATAAAAGTGACTGATTTAAACCGTCTAAGTGCAGATCCTGATTAAGGAAATTGAAGGAGAAGGAATTTAATAAATTGCATGACACTTATTCTGCACATGTTGGCTATACTGCACTTCATAAGTCAGTTTTGAGCGCTTGAATTAGCCGAATTAAGAATTAACCCATGCCCCATGTAAGCAACTGGACATGGTGTTATATTCAGTTTACACCAAAATATAGAAGTAAACTGTCTGGAAATTTGCAAATCAAGTTGTTGTAAAATGGAGGCCGCTGAAATACAGAATGTGTGCAGGTTGTGCCCTTCGACCGAGTTGCAAAACGATGATAGTTTGATTAACGTCTTCGACAATAACATGGAGAAAAATATGATGGAAGTGATTTTAGTTACTACAGGAATTCAGGTGAGTCAGCTGTATGCAACGGAATATTTTGAAATAAGCTTACTACGAATCTCAATGTTTGACGACCTTTGATTAGAGCACGGAATGTTTCAGTTAAGCCTCAAACCCTTTACAAGAGGCAAATTGAACTTTAACTTTCGACACCGGTTTAAATGACTTAATTTGGCACTAAGCAACAGCTCTAAAGTATTCCACAAACAGATAATAACTTATCCGAATTGGCTGTTTATATATTTCCCCCACTAAGTAAGACGACAAGAATTACCGCTTGTAACCAGTGCATGTGCGCAAGCGCGAAATTTAGTGGGAGCTCAGTTGTCAATATTGGCGCTCATTTCAAACCATTCTGACACCAATAAAATACATAATTCGCGTGTTCAACTACCGATGGTGGCGCTGTGAAACGTCAAATTACTCGTTGTCGAGCGACAGTTAAGACTTACGTGTGCTTAGTTATTGTAGCACATTTATAGCATGAAACAATTCTTGTACTGCTTTAGCTTTGTTTCTATTGCTTTAAAAGCTTGCCAAAAGTTTATTAGAACAACACACAATTAGATTTAATTACAAATAGATTTAAACATCAATGTTATACCAATCTCAACAGAACAAGTGTGAAATTAGTACTTAACTTGCAGTAATAATTTTAACCACCAGGGGGCGTCTGGACTTTTAAACTCGCGAATCTGGAATTAGAAATCACCCCTTCTAAAAAACAAACGTTTTAACGGTTTCTTGCTGTTTCCGCCCTGAGGCTATTGTTTTTGTTTCCAGCGTATACTGGTATCAAAGTGACTGGCTGATAATTTATTGATATTGCTCGTTGCTATTTTTTTGATCAACTAGGATTTGCTTTCTACAAACCATATAGTCTCTAATATACATAATAGTATTAGAGTGAGCATATTTATCAGAAAATAGTACATATAGTATATTTCTTTTTTATTACCAAGTTTCTGCATATTGTATAGTGATATCCAGATGATCCACAATTGTTTAAGTTCTTGCAATTTAATTGTTTTTTAGTTGAATTAATTAATTGTTTAGGTTTGTCTGTTTGGTATTCATAGAAGTGTGGGTACATTTTAATAGCCAAAAATCAAAGGTAACAGTGTTTGTGAGGGTACATTTTAATAGCCAAAAATCAACTGTAACAGTGTTTGTGAGTATTGTAACAAACTTCTTCGTTTCAAGAAATGTCTTCACTCTCAGTTCAAAGAGAAGGCATGCAAAAGAAATACATAAAATAGGCGAACATGTCGTTTTTGTTGATTTACCTTAAAGAACACTTTATATTAAGCAGTAGTTTCAGCAAGAAAAAATTCTGGATGGTCTATAAATTAAGCGAAAAAACACCCACAAAGTTTGAGGAAATAGTACCTACTATTTACACAATCTATTTAATATAAAATAGCGGGTAATACGCAGATGATATGTTTTCACTACCTTTCCCATTATCATCATAATCATGCACTTGTTCCAAGCGGTAATTCCTGGGGCCTGATTTTCATGCGTCTACTTGATCACTCCCAGGGAATTTGTATATTGCCGATTGCCTACAATCGGTGATAGCAAATTCACCTAGTCTAGACCAAGCGAGTGATAATTCACATGTATGAAAATCTTATCATGCGAAAACACAGAACTGACTGAATCAAAAGTTTGGTAAACAATGATACTGATATACAGGGTGATTCAAAATTGGCGTCATTCCTCTGGAGGTGTTGTCTGGCGCTGTTATAGAAGTACAGAAAAAATAGTAAAAGAAATTAATTGTTATTAAAAACTGAGAAATTTGCAAAAAACTATATCAGAAATACGACAGCAATGTTTCTCAAAGTAATCTGCCTAATTAACGTTGCGCAAATACCTGTTGCTCCGTAATTATTTAAAAATCCGGTAACCATGAAATTATACAGACTGACAATAAGATAGACAAGGATAAACGGTAAATTCAACAAGATTTGTTGACAAAATGTCAATCTGTTCTTATAACCTCGAATATGGGTGTTTATAAATAAACCCTATAACACCAAACATTTGAATGGATAAACATTTAAATGGTCCAAACAAGCTAGTGCCTGTGTAATCTCCTTATTATCCACTCTTATAAAACAGCTTCTCGTATTCAGTTAATTAACTCGTGCTCCTTGCCGCATAAGCATAAGCCTTGTTCTATGCTCGCTCTCCATTTGTCCATCTCCTTGTGCTGTGTGTATCGTACAAACGCCTTTCCGCGGTATTTACTTGGTGCTTGGGAAAGTGTCAGTTATTGTGCTCTGAGCGCCCCTGGAAGGCCCTGATTCTATTATGCCCAATACTTGTTCCTCTGTGTCTGGAACCCGAACATCGATTGTCGTCCACTATCTTCCTGAAACCACTCTCTTCGCCCTTTGTTGGCATGAGTTCTTTCAGCTTCTGCTATGTTACTGTAGCATTTCCCCTGAACTAATCGCATATCAGCAAATTCGTGAAAGGAAATTCAAAGTAAGTCACA